TGTATGGCTAAGTTCTACATCATTTAACTTATAAGTACTAGGGTTATGGGCACTCCCAAGCTTCAGAACCTTGCATTTATCTACACTGAACTGCATCTGCCACTTTTCTGACCAAGAATAGAGCTTGTTTAAATCCTCCTGAAGTTCCATAACATCTATGTTTGAATCAATTATCCTACCTATCTTTGTGTCATCGGCGAATCTGCTCATATCACTAGTAATTCCCTCATCAAGATCATTGATATATATTATAAACAACAACGGGCCCAAGACTGATCCCTGTGGAACGCCACTTGTTACTGATCCCCACTCGGATTTAACCCCATTTATGGACACTCTCTGCTTCCTGTCAGTGAGCCATGACTCGATCCACGAGAGCACTTTTCCCCCAATGCCATGAGCTGCCATTTTCTTTAACAGTCTATGGTGCGGAACTCTATCAAAAGCCTTACTAAAATCTAAGTAAATAATATCAAATTCTTCATCGTGGTCAACAGCCTCAAAAGCTTTACTGAAGAAAGTTAATAAATTAGTTAGACAAGACCTGAGTATCATTAATCAAGCTATGCTTATCGAGATGGCTATTTATAATCTCAGTTATAATTGACTAGTAATTTGCCTACAATTGAGGTCAGGCTTTTTGGGGCGGTAATTTGACGGTAACAACTTGTCCCTTTTTTTAAAAAAGGAATTACATTAGCCATCTTCCACATATCAGACACTACACCTGTTTGAAGAGATAAACTAAAAATATTAGTTAATGGTTCACAGAGTTCCATTTTGCATTCCTTAAGAACCCTTGAAAAAACCTCATCAGGACCCGGCGACTTATTTTGCTTCAGTCTGTCTATCTGCTTCACAACCATTTCACTAGTGACTGTGATGTTACATAATTTTTCTTCTTCTAGCCCACTAAAAAAAATTAATTACTGGAATATTGTTGTGTCTTCCTGTTTTAAAAAATAAGAGAAAATAATTATTTAAAATCGAGCACATTTCATTCTCTTTGTCAGTAAGGTGCCCGTAGTTATTTTTAAGGGGACCTATCTTATCTCTTAACTTTTGTTCTATAGACCTGGAAAAAACTTTTTGGGTTAGTTTTAGAATCCCCAGCAACTTTAATTTCATAGTCCCTTTTAGCTTTTCTTATCCCCCTTTTTTAAAGTCCCCCTTAATGTCAATATACTGATTCATAAGATGACCCTCACCTCTTTTGAACGCCTATAAATTCCTTTCTTATGCCCTAGTAGATATTTGAGCCTATTATTCATTCATTTTGGGTCATTTCTATTTGATCTAATTTCTTTATATGGGATAAACGTTCTAGGAGCAGCATGTATAGTGTTCAGAAAACTGTCATATTGATAGCTCTCTTCGTTACCCAGTCAAACAGATTAGTGTTCTCTAAGCCCCTCGTAATCTCCTAAGCGAAAATCTGGGACTGTTACCGAGTTATCGCTACTATCGTACTTCCATTCAATGCTAAATGTAATTGATTTGTGGTCGCTAGCCCCCAGTTCCTCTGAAATTTCTAAATTATTAACAAGGGATTTATTGTTTGCCATAACTAAGTCAAGCAGGTTATTTCCCTTGTAGGTTCTGTTTACAAACTGCTTCAAAAAACAATCCTGAACTACTTCTAAGAAGTCGTATGATTCTAAATTCCCAGTCAAGGAAATTCCCAAACAATATGACTAAAGTTAAGTCTCCTAGAATTACTACATTATCGTGCCCTTTTGGCCTTAACAATTCCTCCCATAGTAGTCTCCCTTGGTTCCTAAGGTTTGGGGGACGGTTATCACTCCTAAAATCAGTTTTTCATGCCCCTCTGAAAATTCTATCCAGACTCTGTATGTGTTACTTCAGACTTAATACCCGTTTTTATGAACAGTTCAAGCGATCTCGGACATACAATGCCCACCCCCCCTTCCCGATACTTCTATCTACTTGGAACAATTTAAAGCCCCGAATATTTACATTCCGCGGCATGTCCCGACTTTTTTAATTAAACCATGTCTCAGTTAAGGCAAATACATCAACGTTACCTGCACTAGCAACTAATCTCAACTCGTCCATCTTATTCCTAGCACTACGGCAATTAGCATAATAAACATTGAAAGACTCTCCTTTCTCTTTACCCTTCCTGCTCATTTCTGTTTTTCTACTAAACCTATTACTGTCCTTATCACCCAAAGTCCCTGGCTTTTCAATATCTACCTCGTTCTGCTTATTACTAGTTCCCCTAGAACTCGTAATATTACTACACTGGGACTTCACTGTTTTCCTGCCAAAACCCATACCACTAACTATTCCTAGTTTAAAGTCCTAACTGCTCCCTCCACTGCAGTTGCCAGTGCTACCACCCCCAGACCTAGATAAGTGAACCCCATCCTGGCATACACGTCATTTCTGCCATAGAAGAGGTCCCAGTTGTCAATGAATGTTACTGCATTTTCCTTACAGTATTTGTCCAGCCAGCAATTGACACCAATTGCCCTGGACAACCATTCATTTCCAACTCCTCTCCTTGGCAAAATACCACATATGACAGGGTTCCCACCCTTACTCCTAATTATTTCTATTGCTGACCTATACCTGCTAATCAGGTCTTCACTCCTACGTCTGCCAACATCGTTGCCTCCAGCACTGAGACAGATATTAGGATTGCTCCCATTACCTCTCATGATGTCATCCAGACGGCTAACAATATCCTCCATCCCAGCCCCAGGAAAGCAAACTCTCTGTCTCCTACTCCTGTCCTTCAATCAGAACGCCCTATCCATACACCTAACTTGGCTATCCCCAACAACAACAATATTCTTACCTTCCTTAATGTCTTTCGTCGTAACGTTCCCAGTAGTCGACTCACATTCGTCGGGTAGCACTGAGAATGTATTAGATGTTTCCACAACAGTTTCCACGGTGGTCTCTTTCTTCTTCATCGTTTCTACCTTTCCATTCGTCTTCTTGATCATCAACTTCGTTCCCTGCTGTCCAGCCACTGACCAGTTTCCCTTCTTGACCTGAGGACTCAAAACAGGAGGACTACTACGAATCTTCTTGTTTTCCTCGGTCAGTCGCCAAATCTCCATCTTCGCCATCCTCAATTCTTCCTTAAGCTGTTGGTAAAGTTGCTCAATGGAGGGCATCTTGCTTCAATTCGTAGAGAGCGCGCAAACAGGTCTTCACAGAGCTAAGTACACGTCACCACTGCACAAAAGCCAACTCAATCAAGAGCTACTGCGCAGCATGTCCGCACGGCCCAATAGTTTTGAAGGTTCTCATTATCCATCCTGTCATTTTTCTAGCAGATGCGATTGATACAACGTTATGGTCCTTGAAGGTGAGATCCTCCGACATGATCACTCCCAGGTCTTTGACGTTGGTGTTTCGCTCTATTTTGTGGCCAGAATTTGTTTTGTACTCTGATGAAGATTAATTTCCTCGTGTTTACCATATCTGAGTAATTGAAATTTCTCATCGTTGAACTTCATATTGTTTTCTGCAGCCCACTGAAAGATTTGGTTGATGTCCGCCTGGAGCCTTGCAGTGTCTGCAATGGAAGACACTGTCATGCAGATTCGGGTATCATCTGCAAAGGAAGACACGGTGCTGTGGCTGACATCCTTGTCTATGTTGGATATGAGGATGAGGAACAAGATGGGAGTGAGTACTGTGCCTTGTGGAACAGAGCTTTTCACCGTTGCTGCCTCAGACTTTACTCTGTTGACGACTACTCTCTGTGTTCTGTTAGTGAGGAAATTATAGATCCATCGACCGACTTTTCCTGTTATTCCTTTAGCACGCATTTTGTGCACTATTACGTCATGGTCACACTTGTCGAAGGCTTTTGCAAAGTCTGTATATATTACATCTGCATTCTTTTTGTCTTCTAGTGCATCTAGGACCTTGTCATAGTGATCCAATAGTTGAGACAGACAGGAGCGACCTGTTCGAAACCCATGTTGCCCTGGGTTGTGTAACTGATGGGTTTCTAGATGGGTGGTGATCTTGCTTCTTAGGACCCTTTCAAAGATTTTTATGATATGGGATGTTAGTGCTATCGGTCTGTAGTTCTTTGCTGTTGCTTTACTGCCCCCTTTGTGGAGTGGGGCTATGTCTGTTGTTTTTAGTAACTGTGGGACGACCCCCATGTCCATGCTCTCTCTCCATAGGATGGAAAAGGCTCATGATAGGGGCTTCTTGCAGTTCTTGATGAACACGGAGTTCCATGAGTCTGGCCCTGGGGCAGAGTGCATGGGCATGTCATTTATCGCATGTTCGAAGTCATTTGGCGTAATATTATAATTAAAGTTCTAGTTCTCTGACTAAAAGTGCATCATACATACATTACCTAGCAATATACAGTGGACCCCCGCATAACGATCACCTCCGAATGCGACCAATTATGTAAGTGTATTTATGTAAGTGCGTTTGTACGTGTATGTTTGGGGGTCTGAAATGGACTAATCTACTTCACAATATTCCTTATGGGAACAAATTCGGTCAGTACTGGCACCTGAACATACTTCTGGATTGAAAAAATATCGTTAACCGGGGCTCCACTGTACTGTATATAAAAATGTCCCACTTGCATATGTTAGATACGAGCAATTGCAGCCAAATAGTTTTTGTAATTTCACATGATGTTGGAGAGCCAGCAAGGTAACATTTTATAAAGGGATTTAGTGAAACTGATTAGCTGGACTAGTCTTGGAGGTGGGATGTACAGTGCCTGCACCTTGAAGGAGTGGTGGGGATTTTGCAGTATGGAGGGTCATCTGAACTGTGATGTTGGTGCCCTTTTGGCAAGAGTGACTGAATGAGTGACAGTGAAAGTATTTTCTTCTTTGTCAGATCACCCTGCTTCAGTGAGAAATAGCTAATTAAAAAAAAATATGTACTTTAATTTACACAAGTTTCCCAAATTGTATTTTTTTCAATATCTAGTATTTAATGCCGTAATTTTTAATGAAAAAGGCAATAAACCTGTGCAACACAGACATACTGTTTTCTCTATCCTTCTTCTTTTTAGTTGAAGTTCCTACATCTTGTTTGTGTTGATGTTGTTTCTTGTTAGACGGCTCCATGGTGTCGTCTTCAGTTGACGAACACCGTCGCTTTCTTTCACCACTGATGTGCACCGTGGATTAAGCCCAACCTGAGAGGAAAAAAAAGTTCTATAATACACTGTACATTAATTTAGAAATTTAGCAGTTTTATTCCACCTAGTAGCAGTTGGTAACCATGGCCTTACTATATGCCTGGAGTATACCTGGAAAGCACAAAGTATATATGTAAGTTTACTTTGGTCCACATACACAAAATACAGTCAAATTTAGAAGACTACAATTATCAAAAATATGTGCAAATTACCAAGGATAACCCCCAAAACATTGTCAAAGTTCCTTATTTCCACTAGGGTCTTTGTATGGGGTCACAGCAACTGATGGAATGGGAGGCTGTCAGGGATGATCAATGGAAGGGAAGAAAAACTCCCCAATAAAAATAAGTAACTGACTTTTTTGGGGGGAGTTATCCTAGGATAATGTACTCATGGGTACCTGTATCTAAACAAAACTTACTAAATTGCTTGCATCATGAGTCCCTCACCAGCACCTAGATCCTCCATTAAGGGTCCCTCACCAACTCCTTGGGGCCTCTTTCATGGGTGCCTCTCTGGCACCTAGGAACCTCTCTCAAGGGTCCCCATCTGGCACCCAAGGACCTCTCTCAAGGGTCCCTCACTGGCACCTAAGGACCTCTCTCAAGGGTCCCTCACTGGCACCTAAGGACCTCTCTCAAGGGTCCCTCACCAGCACCTAAGGGCCTTTCATGGGTCCCTCTCTGGCACCTAGGGACCTCTCTCAAGGGTCCCTCACCAGCACCTAGGGACCTCTCTCAAGGGTCCCTCACTGGCACCTAAGGATCTCTCTCAAGGGTCCCTCACCAGCACCTAGGGACCTCTCTCAAGGGTCCCCCTCTGGCACCTAAGGACCTCTCTCAAGGGTCCCTCACCGGCACCTAAGGACCTCTCAAGGGTCCCTCACTGGCACCTAGGGACCTCTCTCAAGGGTCCCCCTCAGGCACCTAAGGACCTCTCAAGGGTCCCTCACCGGCACCTAAGGACCTCTCAAGGGTCCCTCACCGGCACCTAAGGACCTCTCAAGGGTCCCCCACTGGCACCTAAGGACCTCTCAAGGGTCCCCCACCGGCACCTAAGGACCCTTCAAGGGTCCCTAAACGGCACCTAAGGGACCTCTCAAGGGGTTCCTCACCGGCACCTAAGGACCTCTCAAGGGTCCCTCACCGGCACCTAAGGACCTCTCAAGGGTCCCTCACCGGCACCTAAGGACCTCTCTCATAGGTCCCTCACATAAAGTTTATCTAAGTACAGGTACACATTAGTACAATTATCATACACGGGTTAACGTACGTATAAATGACCTAGGATAACCCCAACAAAAAAGTCAGATTTCCACTGGGATGGTTGTAGGAGGAACGAGGTGCACGTTATCAAGCTACGAGTCTGCAGAGCTAGAGCCAAGTGAAGCAACACCTCGCAGAGCCGCAGGCAAGCAAGCTCAACCTCGGAAAGCAACAAGCAGATGAATCTGAACCAGCAGAGCTAGTTACAAGCCAGCCAACACCCTCGCTCAACCTCTACAGCTAAAATCCTCGCCATGATGTCCCAAGTTATGATAAGCCACAGTGGCCTCCCCTCCCCTCCTCATTATTTTCCCCCTCCCACCCACCTCTCCTGTGCCTCCTGCACCTGGCCCTGGCACCCACCACCTCAGCTTCTACTCACCTACCACAAAAAAATAAAATGAACCAGGTTCCTGGAGGCACTTTCACCGCATCAGCTAAACAATTGTGGACGGTCGACTGCCGCAGAGACCACCGGCTTATTCACTTTATTTCACAATACACTAGCTAAAATTTATTTTCGTATTACATCTATAACATAATACATATTGTTAAAACAGTCTCGAGGATATTAATGTGTTATTGGCGCGTTTGTGTAGTTTACTGCGTAGATCTAAGGTTTAAATAATAAGATATTACAAGGACCCCAATGAAAATAAGTCACTTTGACTTTTTTATGGGTTATCCTTAGTTCTTTACACTTATGTTATTATGTATGATAATTTGTGTAACTGTATTTATGTACACCTGTACCTAAATAAACTTATTTACTTACAGTTAAATAATTTGACTTGTTTGTCAATGACTAACTCATTTTACTCATTAATTTCGTTGACATACGGTTGTATTTAGCAATTAGTCTTACTCAGTGATTTATTTTACTTAATTATTCACCTTTATACCAACTCTTATACACTATTCCACTTATTTATGTTCTAACCACATGTTGTTTCATGACTTACACAGATGATAAGAAACTATATTTGAGTCAATGAGATCATTCATATATATATATATATAATATATATATATTATATATATATATATATATATAATATATATATATATATATATATATATATATATATACCTGGAGTTTACCTGGAGAGAGTTCCGGGGGTCAACGCCCCCGCGGCCCGGTCTGTGACCCGGCCTCCTGGTGGATCAGAGCCTGATCAACCAGGCTGTTGCTGCTGGCTGCACGCAAACCAACGTACGAGCCACAGCCCCGGGTGATCCGGGAACTGACTTTAGGTGCTTGTCCAGTGCCAGCTTGAAGACTGCCAGGGGTCTGTTTGGGAATCCCCCTTATGTGTGCTGGGAGGCAGTTGAACAGTCCTCGGGGCCCCTGACACTTATTGAAATGGTCTCTTAACGTGCTGTGACACCCTGCTTTCATTGGGGGATGGTGCATCGTCTGCCAAGTCTTTTGCTTTCGTAGTGAGTGATTTTCGTGTGCAAGTTCGGTACTAGTCCCTCAGGTTTTTCCAGTGTAATATAATCATGTATCTCTCCCTCCTGCGTTCCAGGGAATACAGGTTTAGGAACCTCAAGCGCTCCCAATAATTGAGGTTTTTTTTATCTCCGTTATGCGCGCCGTGAAGGTTCTCTGTACATTTTCTAGGTCGGCAATTTCACCTGCGTTGAAAGGTGCTGTTAGTGTGCAGCAATATTCCAGCCTAGATAGAAAAAGGGTGACCTGAAGAGTTCATCATGGGCTTGGCCTCCCTATTTTGAAGGTTCTCATTATTCCATCCTGTCATTTTTCTAGCAGTTTGCGATTGATACAATGTTATGGTCCTTGAAGGTGAGATCCTCCGACATGATCATTCCCAGGTCTTTGACGTTGGTGTTTCGCTCTATTTTGTGGCCAGAATTTGTTTTGTACTCTGATGAAGATTAATTTTCCTCATGTTACCATATCCTGAGTAATTGAAATTTCTTCATCGTGAAACTTCTATTGTTTTCTGCAGCCCACTGAAAGATTTGGTTGATGTTCTGCCTGGAGCTTTGCAGTGTCTGCAATGGAGCACTGTCAGCCGATTCGGGTGTCATCTGCAAAGGAAGACACGGTGCTGTGGGTGACTTCGAATTGTCTATGTCGGATATATGGATGTGGAAAAGTTGGAGCGGTACTGTGCCTTGTGGAACAGAGCTTTCACCGTAGCTGCTCGGACTTTACTCTTGTTGGACGACTACTCTCTGTGTTCTGTTTAGTTGAGGACATTTATAGATCATCGAACGACTTTTCCAGTTATTCCTTTAGCACGCATTTGGTGCGTATTACCGCCATGGTCACAACTTGTCGAAGGCTTTTGCAAAGTCTGTATATATTAAATCTGCATCTTTTTGTCTTCTAGTGACATTTAGGACTTGGTCGTAGTGGTCCAATAGTTGGAGACAGACAGGTGCGACATGTTCTAAACCCCATGTTGCCCTGGGTTGTGTAACCTGATGGGTTTAGGTGGGTGGTGGATCGTGCTTCTTTAGGGGACCTTTCAAAAGATTTTTTATGATATGGGATGTTAGTGCTATGGGGTCTGTAGTTCTTTGCTGTTGCTTTACTGCCCCCTTTATGGAGTTGTTTGGAGGCTATTATGTATGTTGTTTTTAGTAACTGTGGGACGACACCCGTGTCCATGCTCCCCCCTCCTTAGATGGAAAAGGCTATAATATATTTATTTATCATTATATATATATATATATAAATATATATATATATATATATTATATATATATAATAATATATATTTTACACCATCACTCATCGCTATTATCCTCTAATCTTCAACCTTCCATTGTGACCCCATTATTTCTGTTCCTATCTCTGGAACATCCTGTCTCTGTCCACCTTGTCTATTCCACGCAGTATTTTGTATGTCGTTATCATGTCTCCCCTGACCCTCCTGTCCTCCAGTGTCGTCAGACCGAATTCCTTAAAACCTTTACTTGTAGGACATTTCTCTTAACTCTGGAACTAGCCTTGTTGTAAACCTTTGCTCTTTCTCTAATTTCTCGAAGTGTTTGACCAGGTGTGGGTTCCAAACTGGTGCTGCGTACTCCTGTATGGGCCTGACGTACACAGTGTATTGTACTGTGTTTGTCTAACTTTTTGGGGTTAAAGTAGATAATTTACACTATGTAAAATAATTGCACATGTACTTATGTGTACCTGTGCCTAAATAAACTTAGCATAAATGTGTACAATAGTTCTGAGGGTACAATGTTCCATTACCAAGATTTAAACAAAGATAACCCACTAAAATCAATGTGACTTAGACTAATATTTAATTTAGGGTCAGGGGTTCAACTCGTTATAGTTTTTTTTAAATACTGGAAATCTATCAGTGCTCCTTCCCCCCCCTCCAAAAAAATAATTATTATGTGGCGCGGTGGCCTGGTGGCTAAAGCTCCCGCTTCACACACGGAGGGCCCGGGTTCGATTCCCGGCGGGTGGAAACATTTCAACACGTTTCCTTACACCTGTTGTCCTGTTCACCTAGCAGCAAATAGGTACCTGGGTGTTAGTCGACTGGTGTGGGTCGCATCCTGGGGGACAAGATTATGAGCCCTATGGGGAAATGAGTTAGGACAGTCCTCGTATGACACTGACTTTCGTGGGTTATCCTGGGAGGCTAACCTCCGGGGTTAAAAATCCGAACGAAATCTTATTTTATCTTATCTTATTGTGCAGAGTGTTATTTTGATAGGTCCTAGCAAATATAATGTTATTATTGTGCTATCGTATGTCGAGTCTGGACAATCACAGGCGTAAAAAAGGACTTAGCGAGCAAAAAAGCAATTAAACGTTAGCTAATGTAAGGATAAGGCGTGCCATTCCCATTATCTACCGCTGGCGGAGGAAAGGTTAGATTCGCTTGGTTATTTTAGTTTGGGTTACGTTGGGTTGCCTTAGGTTAAGTAATAATCCACGAAACGCAAGAATAAGTTAAGTTTATTCAGGTACAGGTACGCCAAATACAGGTACATTATTTTTATCCATACTTAGCAACCAATGTGTAGATATTTACTAGGATAAACCCAAAGGAAATAGTCAGTAAACTTATTTCCAATGGGGTCTTTTTTAATAGATCCTGCCCACAGGTATAGATGTTAGGATACTGGCCCCAGGGTAGGTGTTAGGATTACTGGCCCCAGGGTAGTATGGTTAGGAGGGACTAACCCCAGGGTAGGTGTTAGGATGCTGGCTCCAGAGTAGGTGTTAGGAGACTGACCCCAGGGTAGGTGTTAGGATGCTGGCCCCAGGGTAGGTTTTAGGATACTGGTCCCAGGGTAGGTGTTTGGGATACTGGCCCAGGGTAGGTTGTTAGGATACTGGCCCAGGGTAGGTGTTAGGAGTATGAACCCCCAGGGTAGGTGTTAGGAGACTGACCCCAGGGTAGGTGTTAGGATACTGGCCCCAGGGTAGATGTTAGGAGACTAACCCCAGGGTAGGTGTTAGGATGCTGGCTCCAGAGTAGGTGTTAGGAGACTGACCCCAGGGTAGGTGTTAGGATGCTGGCCCCAGGGTAGGTTTTAGGATACTGGTCCCAGGGTAGGTGTTAGGATACTGGCCCCAGGGTAGGTGTTAGGATACTGGCCCCAGGGTAGGTGTTAGGATACTGGCCCCAGGGTAGGTGTTAGGATACTGGCCCCAGGGTAGGTGTTAGGAGACTGGCTCCCGTACAGGCGGGACCCCAGAGGTTTTGGAGAATGAGTAATTGGCCAGTACCTGACGAACCGAGTTGTGGTTTTGTGTTGTTGGGACTGCGCGCGGCCCAGCAGTAACAGCCTGGTTGATCAGGTCCTGAATTCACTGCGGACCTGTGTCATGGGCCGGGCCACGGGGGCGTTGACCCCCGGTACACCCACCAGTGAGGCATCAAGGCACTGCGTTTACGGAGCAAGAACTCTGATTTTACTTACAGATCAATTAAAAAAAATGTTGAGAAAATTGTTCATATCAAATATTAAGAAAATTGCTACATGAAATTTTTCATTGCTGTAAGCCAACCAATAATATTGGTATTTACTTGGCTGTTTCGATTTGAATAATAATAATAATAATAAATAATAATATAATTAATATAATAATAAGTAATAAATATAATAATAATAATTATTATTTTTTTAATATTATTATTATTATTATTATTATAATTTATAAATTTAATATTTATTTCTGCAAGTATAGACCTCGTTGACATCATTAACATACTATATAGAAGCCTCTGGTTATATAGAGCATTTCGGGCAACTTAAGGTTCATCTTGTATTCCAGGATGCGACCCATACCAGTCTGCTAACACCCAGGTACCTACTTGTTGTTAGGTGAACAGGGACAACAGATGTAGGAAAACACACCCAATCTATTCACCCGTACCGGGGATCGAACCATGGACACTCATTGCGTGAGCTGAGTGCGTTACCAACTGAGCAACGAGCCATAATTGAAATATCATTTGTTCTGTTATCACTGCTGTTGTACCTCAGGTAAGTTTTTATCAGTCACAGGCAGGTAAAACTAAGGGCTCACAGGCTGCAGAATTAACTGGAGTAATTGTATTGTAGTATGTTGGCCGGCCTTGTCCCGGCCCGGGTCTTCTCCAGGTGGTGACCTGGCTAACTTGAATAACTGACACCTTGTGTGGGGTTCGATCCCATGTCCTCTTGGGTGTGACCTGAGTACGTTTACAAATATTCTAGAAGGTAGTTATATATATGAATAATCCCGAAACGCACAGTTATAGACCTTCCCATGTTTACCTAGAGGTTGTTCTGGCTGTCAACGCCCCCGGGGCCCGGTCCTAGACCAGGTCTAACGGTGGATCAGGGTCTGATTAACCAGATTGTTACTGCTGATGGCATGCAATCCGACGAATGAACCACAGCCCGGGTGATCGGGCAGGGATCTATTGGTAATTCCCTCATGTATGATAGGAGCTGTTGAATAGTCTTGGGCCCTTGACACTATCTTTTCTCTTAGTTTACTCATGGCTTTCCTGATTTCCACTGGAGGTATGTTGCACAGTCTGTCGAGTCTTTTGCTTTCGTAGGCAGTGATTTCTGTGTGCAGATTTGGGACCAGTTCTTCAAGGATTTTCCAGGTGCAGATTATGTCTCTCTCGCCTGCGCTCCAGGGAGTACCGGCAGATTTCAGACTTTCCCAGTAATTAATGTGCTTGACTAAACTAATACTTACAATGTAGGTTTTTAATACGTGTATGGGAAAATAAAAATAAAATATTAACCCATCTTTGTATATTATATATATCTCATTTATTTGGAAATTTGGATAGTGACCCGAATGAAAAAAATGTGGATTGTGTATTACAAGGATATATACACCGTGTGTATATGCTGAGAGTTTACTTTAATTTTTATTTTAAGGATTAAAGTATACTAGACTGGTAGTGAACAGGTTACGTGCAGACTTGATGACCCTCATGTAGTTGACAGCCTTTTAGCCTACGTAACAAACTAACCATTAAATATTTGTGAGAAAATTATTTAGGCTAATGAATATATGCTATATTTACATACGGCTTTTTCATAATCATGGATTTCTTAATAACCACATGAAATTTAAAAATATAAGACCTATCTAAAAATATTTTAAACCGTGTATCTCTCTCTTTGAGAAATATCGAGATGGATTTAATCCTGCATTTATATAGTATATAAATTATATTACTTTATTTAAATTTTAAATGTGAAATTTGAAAGGGAGGAAAAAAAATTTTCACAAAAGTTAATATTTTAAGGGGGAAAGAAATATTTGAAGGAGAAAAAAAAAGTCAGTGTCGCAATGGCGGAGGGAAAAGAAAGAGCGTAAGGGAAAACCAAACAATACAAGATCTTTAAATTTCCCCGGGGGAAACACCCCTCGTTTTTTTAAATTAAATGTAAAGTGGGAAGTTTGTGGTGAGCAGCATTTTTTATGGCGTGGCAATTTTTATAGTGTGGGTATTTTTGGGAAGTAGAGGTGGGGACGAGGGTAGGGAAAAAAAAGGTTTGTTTGGGCCTTGGGAATTATCTGTGACAGAGTTGAAATAGGGAATAAAAAGAAGTGTTAATGGTGGGGGGGGCCCTTTAGGGGCACCCCAGGGTCCCGGGCGGGAATGGAGGGGCCAACCTCCTGGAGTGGAAATAAAAACGGATGTGCGGGAGAGAAGTGTGGGGGGAAAAGGGGCCCAGGAGGAGGTTTATAGCCCCAAGGGCCCCAGATTGAAAATTTGTCATAAGGGCCCACTTTGGTTGAAGAAAGTCCCCCCACTGCGGGCTGTTTCTACCGGGTTTCCCCCCCTTAAAAAACATAATTTTTTTAAAAGACCCCCCTGTGGGGCCCTTAGCTTGGGTTCCGTATCACTGTGGGTACACGTTGACCCCCAGAGTTTTTCCCTGTATGTGGGGTCGTATAAAACCTTCGGGTAACTTTTGGGCAACTTGCCTTTTAAAAGGTTTGTGGGAATTTCCCTTTTCCGGAATATACTGTATGACCCATGGGGTTTTTGCTCTTTTATAAATTACTTACGTGAGTACTTTTTTGGGATTTTGTTAAAAATTGTTTTTGTAAGGGCATATAAAAACAGGCCCTGTGCATTTAAAGGAGGCTGTAAAGTGTTTTTTGGTTATTTATTTTTTTTGATCATTTCTTAGTAAATTTTTAATTTTTGTATTAAAAAACCCCGCACTTAATTTTCCTTTCCCTCATCAGTAATTGTGTCCTTGGAAACCCGCATTTTCCCTATCGGGTTTACCTGTATGGGGGAAATTTTTAAAAGGGTTTTTTCATCTTTCATAAAATTTTTTCATTGTTGATAAAAAACACTAATCAGTATTGCTCTTCATTTATTATTATTTTATAACCCCTCATTAAGTGCTGGCCCGGAGGGTTTTTGATTTCCCCAAACCCCAAGGGAAAAACCCGCCCCTGGTAGGTTTATTAAACCCCACAATTGGGAGATTCAAACCTACCCGGAATCATCAGAAATTTTAGTTTTGTTTTATTTTACCCCAAAATTGGGTTATAAAGTATAAAAAACAAAACCCCTATATTTCTGCATAAAAATTGGGGCGGGAATTTTCCCGACCGTGTCCCAAACCATGGTGTGACCCTCAGTCGTTTTTAATATATTCTTGGATTTAAGGTAATATAGATTAAAAATATGTCACCCCCCCCAACTAATTAATATTAAATTTATTTAATTTAAACCCCTTAATGGTCCAAATATATATATTTTTTTTTAAACATTAAAGTATGTAAAAAAATGTAGATCTTTTTTGTTTTACATTTGAAAAGTGTAAAAAAAAACTTTTATTCATTTTTTTTTTTTTATATTTAAAAATATGTAAAAAAAAGTAGACCTATTTTGGAGCATACAATTTGAACGTCGATCGTTTGGACCTTTTTTAGGGGGGAGTGCTAACCCAGGGGGTCTTCAGTACAAAAATGGGGGAAAGTTCTCCTTTGTCGAGACGAGACAGTTTCAGCAGAAGAGAATAGCAAATAGCTACTGTAGTAATTTTACAGTACTGTTTAATTTTAAATGCCGAAATACATTAATTACAGTAGTGTAATTTATCCCCAAAAATAAATGACGGGTGGGATGTGGCAGAAGAAAATTTAAAAGCTTTTAACAAAAAAATTTGTTTTTTAAAGGAATGTTTAAAACTTCTATGTGTATGCTATGTATACATAATCGTCGTAATGGCAACTTAAATACCCCTGCAATTTTTAAGACTTAAATTTTAATGGATCCCTTTTTCTTTCTCACCCGATGCACAAGTAAGTGCTAGTAAAAAAAGTTTGGGCTCAAGTTAATTTTTCCCTTTTCGTTTTTTTGGTGAAAAAATTTTTTTTTTAATTTGATGTTCTGAGCTCTATAAATTTTTTGGGGCTTGTGCTTTTCTTTTATTATTGAAATCAACATAATACTTTAGTTTATGAAAACAAAACCATGGAATGGGTGGGGTTGAAATATGGAAAGTGAGTCTAAATCCGGGCCAGTGGTAAGTTTACATCAGGCTGGGTTTTATGACTCGCTTGCCTGGGTTCTATCCCCCCCATACCGTGGGGTTTTTTTGCATTCGTTATGTTTCACGGTTTATTTCCAGTAAGGAAAAATTTTTACACTTCTGTTCAGATTTTTTTGGGTCTATAAGGGGGGGTAACAATTGATTTTAAACTGGCAAATATATGTTTTGGTAATACGTATAAAAAAAATGTAGTATAATAATGGTCATATTTATCCATTTTTATCATTTACCATTTATGCAGAATTTGGTATATTCTTTTGTATATAAACATAAAAAAATCTTTTAGTGGTACATTTTTTGATCCACGCTGATGTACATTGTCCTCTACGTTTCTAAAGCATGTACTGTACTGTAAATGCATATATTTAGGCCTGAAACAGATTAATTTTTTAGCCAATTTTGCAGCTCAATTTTTCATACTATTTATTTTCTATATTGTTTTATGTAAAAGGAAATTATTTTTAAAAGTGTGTGTGTGTGTGTGTGTGTGTATTTATTTATTTGTTTATTTTTATTTTATTTATTTTTTTATTTATATTCTGTATTATAAGATGTTTAATGTTTTTTGTGAAGAATGTTAATTTACAACACTGTCAAAAGAAACCTTAAACCATTTCAATCTTGAATATTTATAGTACAGTACATTGCTTTATCAAGTTAATGCTAGCTTTACATTGTCTCTTTGGTTATCCATTGAGTAATAAATGTTTGAATTGCTGTTGGTTTTGATCATATTTACTCACACTCGTATATTCTCATTTTGAATTAATGTTCTGCTAGTTTTGTTGAGTTAAGCAATTCTGACTTTCCATTATGTTTTAGGACTCTTTGGAGAAAACAGCACCATGAATGAGCCATGTGGAAATGGGAACAGTGGCGTCTGTAGTAACCAGGTTGGAAGTGTTCGTACCCGAACATATCCTTCGATTAGCGCAATGGAACGAGGAGGCGCTGGTAGTGGTAGTAACTCATCGTCAGGGTTTCCTCGGATGTCCCTACGATCACTCTTGCTCAATAGTCCCTTCTCTATCCGTACCAGATCTAAGAGAGTTCGAACACCAACCTCGTCATGTAAGTAAAATGCTTAGATCTGGAGGTGGGACATACAGTGCCTAAATTCTGAATGGGTGGAGATGTTGGAGTTTGGAGTGTCATTTGAATAGCTGGCAAAATAGGTAAGGAAAAATTGGGTACCAGATTGGAGGAAGGGAGTATGGAAGAGGTGAATGTGTTCAGATATTTGGGAGTGGACATGTCTGTGGATGGGTATATGAAGGATGAGATTAATAATACAAATGATGAAGGGAAAAAATGGTGTGGTGCATTGAGGTATCTATGGAGACAAGGAATGTTATCCATGGAGGTACAGAAGGAATGTATGAGAGTATGGTGGTACCAACACCCTTATATGAGTGTGAAGCATAGGTTTTGGATGTTGCAGCGAGGAGGAGGCTGGGGACAGTGGAGATGATGTGTTTAAGGGCAGTGTGTGCCATAAATGTTATGCAGAGAATTCGTAGTGTGGAAATTAAGAGGTGTGGAGTTACTAAAAGTATTATTTGGAGGGCTGACGATGGTTTGTTGAGGTGGTTTGTTCATTTAGAGAGACTGGAGCAAAATAGGATGACTTGGAGGGCATATAAATCTGCAGTGGAAGGAAGGATAGGGGTCCTAGGAAAGGATGGAGGGAGAAAATAAAAGAGGTTTTGTGTGCAGAGGGCTTGGACATACAGCAAGAATGTGTGAGCATGTCAGATAGGAGTGACTGAATGTTTTTTGGGACTTGACAAGCCTTTGGAGTGTGAGCAGGGTAATATTTTGTGAGGGGATTCAGGGAAACCGGTTAGCCAGGCGAGTCCTGGAGGTGGGAAGTACAGTGCCTGCACTCTAAAGAAGGGGTTTTGGATATTGATGTTTAGTGACATCTAAACTTTCGTATCTGCATGCCTCTGGCAAGACAGTAAGTGTGAATGATGTGAAAGTTATTTTTTTTTGGGTCGCCCTACCTCGGTGGGAGATGGCCAGTGTGTTTAAAAAAAAAAAAAAGCCTTTGAATGAATGATGGTGACTTCCCCTCTTTATTTGGATCTTGGTGGTAAGAGAAAAGTATTGTAGTTTATTCGAATATAATAGTATACAGTACAGTACATAAAAGCCATGTGCTAAATCATTGATTACATCATCTTGTTCAGGGTTTGTTTTTCTGATCGTTGAGCAGTTATCTGTAGCTTTATCTAAGATAATACTGTACAGTAGTAATATTTGTAGTAATCATCATTTTGGAATATAGTGTTAATATTCTACAGTAAGTCATGTAAATTGCCATTCCTAAGGTTTCATAATTATTTTGAAGGTATGTCTTGCTACTTCTACTTACACTTAGGTCACACTACACATACATGTACACATTTATTTATACACACTCATCTGAATTTTCTTAGATTTTATCTTAATAGTTCTTGGTCTTATTACTTTTCCTTTTATATCCATGGGGAAGTGGAATAAGAATCTTTCCTCCGTAAGCCATGCGTGTTGTAAGAGTCAACTAAAATGCCGGGAACAATGAGCTAGTAACCCCTTTTCCTGTAAAGATTACTAAAAAGAATAAGAAGAAGAAAATTGTCAAAGTGGGAAGTCTGAATGTGCATGAATGTTGTGCAAATGATAAGAAAGAAATGATTGTGGATGTTATGAATGAGAAGAAGCTAGATGTCCTGGCTTTAAGTGAAACAAAGCTGAAGGGGGTGGGAGAGTTTCAATGGAGAGGAATAAATGGGATTAGGTCAGGGGTTTCAAATAGAGTTAGAGCTAAAGGAGGAGTAGCAATAATGTTGAAGGATAAGCTATGGCAGGAAAAGAGGGATTATAAATGTATTAATTCAAGGATTATGTGGAGTAAAATAAAGATTGGATGTGAAAAGTGGGTTATAATAAGCGTGTATGCACCTGGAGAAGAGAGAAGTGTAGAGGAGAGAGAGAGATTTTGGGAAATGTTGAGTGAATGCATGGGGAGTTTTGAATCAAGTGTGAGAGTAATGGTGGTTGGGGATTTCAATGATAAAGTGGGTAAAAATGTTATGGAGGGAGTAGTAGGTAAATTTTGGGTGCCAGGGGTAAATGTAAATGGGGAGCCTTTAATTGAGCTTTGTGTAGAAAGAGATTTGGTAATAAGTAATACATATTTTATGAAAAAGAGGATAAATAAATATACAAGGTATGATGTAGCACATAATGAAAGTAGTTTATTAGATTATGTATTGGTGGATAAAAGGTTGATGGGTAGGCTCCAGGATGTACATGTTTATAGAGGGGCAACTGATATATCGGATCATTATTTAGTTGTAGCTACAGTTAGAGTAAGAGGTAGATGGGACAAGAGGAAGGTGGCAACAACAAGTAGGAAGGAAGTGAAAGTGTATAAACTAAGGGAGGAGGAAGTTCGGGCGAGATATAAGCGACTATTGGCAGAAAGGTGGGCTAGTGCAAAGATGAGTAGTGGGGGGGGTTGAAGAGGGTTGGAATAGTTTTAAAAATGCAGTATTAGAATGTGGGGGCAGAAGTTTGTGGTTATAGGAGGGTGGGGGCAGGTGGAAAGGGGAGTGATTGGTGGAATGATGAAGTACATGTAAAGGGTGTGATAAAAGAGAAAAAGGTAGCTTATGAGAGGTTTTTACAAAGCAGAAGTGTTATAAGAAGAGCAGAGTATATGGAGAGTAAAAGAAAGGTGAAGAGAGTGGTGAGAGAGTGCTAAAGGAGAGCAGATGATAGTGGGAGAGGCACTGTCAAGAAATTTTAATGAAAATAAGAAAAAATTTTGGAGTGAGTTAAGCAAGTTAAGAAAGCCTAGGGAAAGTATGGATTTGTCAGTTAAAAACAGAGTAGGGGAGTTAGTAGATGGGGAGATGGAGGTATTAGGTAGATGGTGAGAATATTTTGAGGAACTTTTAAATGTTAAGGAAGAAAGAGAGGCAGTAATTTCATGCACTGGTCAGGGAGGTATACCATCTTTTAGGAGTGAAGAAGAGCAGAATGTAAGTGTGGGGGAGGTACGTGAGGCATTACGTAGAATGAAAGGGGGTAAAGCAGCTGGAACTGATGGGATCATGACAGAAATGTTAAAAGCAGGGGGGGGGATATAGTGTTGGAGTGGTTGGTACTTTTGTTTAATAAATGTATGAAAGAGGGGAAGGTACCTAGGGATTGGCAGAGAGCATGTATAGTCCCTTTATATAAAGGGAAAGGGGACAAAAGAGACTGTAAAAATTATTGAGGAATAAGTTTACTGAGTATACCAGGAAAAGTGTACGATAGGGTTATAATTGAAAGAATTAGAGGTAAGACAGAATGTAGGATTGCGGATGAGCAAGGAGGTTTCAGAGTGGGTAGGGGATGTGTAGATCAAGTGTTTACATTGAAGCATATATGTGAACAGTATTTAGATAAAGGTAGGGAAGTTTTTATTGCATTTATGGATTTAGAAAAGGCATATGATAGTGGATAGAGGAGCAATGTGGCAGATGTTGCAAGTATATGGAATAGGCAGTAAGTTATTAAATGCTGTAAAGAGTTTTTATGAGGATAGTGAGGCTCAGGTTAGGGTGTGTAGAAGAGAGGGAGATTACTTCCCAGTAAAAGTAGGTCTTAGACAAGGATGTGTAATGTCACCATGGTTGTTTAATATATTTATAGATGGGGTTGTAAAGGAAGTAAATGCTAGGGTGTTCGGGAGAGGGATGGGATTAAATTATGGGGAATCAAATTCAAAATGGGAATTGACAGTTACTTTTTGCTGATGATACTGTTCTTATGGGAGATTCTAAAGAAAAATTGCAAAGGTTAGTGGATGAGTTTGGGAATGTGTGTAAAGGTAGAAAGTTGAAAGTGAACATAGAAAAGAGTAAGGTGATGAGGGTATCAAATGATTTAGATAAAGAAAAATTGGATATCAAATTGGGGAGGAGGAGTATGGAAGAAGTGAATGTTTTCAGATACTTGGGAGTTGACGTGTCGGCGGATGGATTTATGAAGGATGAGGTTAATCATAGAATTGATGAGGGAAAAAAGGTGAGTGGTGCATTGAGGTATATGTGGAGTCAAAAAACGTTATCTATGGAGGCAAAGAAGGGAATGTATGAAAGTATAGTAGTACCAACACTCTTATATGGATGTTAAGCTTGGGTGGTAAATGCAGCAGCGAGGAGACGGTTGGAGGCAGTGGAGATGTCCTGTTTAAGGGCAAGGTGTGGAGTTAATAAAAGTATTAGTCAGAGGGCAGAAGAGGGGTTGTTGAGGTGGTTTGGTCATTTAGAGAGAATGGATCAAAGTAGAATGACATTATTTTTTATTTTTTTATTATCACACTGGCCGATTCCCACCAAGGCAGGGTGGCCCGAAAAAGAAAAACTTTCACCATCATTCACTCCATCACTGTCTTGCCAGAAGGGTGCTTTACACTACAGTTTTTAAACTGCAACATTAACACCCCTCCTTCAGAGTGCAGGCACTGTACTTCCCATCTCCAGGACTCAAGTCCGGCCTGCCGGTTTCCCTGAACCCTTTCATAAATGTTACTTTGCTCACACTCCAACAGCACGTCAAGTATTAAAAACCATTTGTCTCCATTCACTCCTATCAAACATGCTCACGCATATCTGCTGGAAGTCCAAGCCCCTCGCACACAAAACCTCCTTTACCCCCTCTTTTTCTGTCTCATAAAGACGCTAGATAACAGGGATATCTTGCTACTCCTACTTACACTTTGGTCACACTTCACAGACACGCACATGCATATATATATACATACATCTAGGTTTTTCTCCTTTTTCTTAATAGCTCTTGTTCCTCTTTATTTCTTCTATTGTCCATGGGGAAGTGGAAAAGAATCTTTCCTCCGTAAGCCATGCGTGTCGTATGAGGCGACTAAAATTCCGGTAGCAATGGGCTAGTAACCCCTTCTCCTGTAGACATTTACTAAAAAAGAGAAGAAGAAAAACTTTAGAATGACGTGGAAAGCATATAAATCTATAGGGGAAGGAAGGCAGGGTAGGGGTCGTCCTCGAAAGGGTTGGAGAGAGGGGGTAAAGGAAGTTTTGTGGGCAAGGGGCTTGGACTTCCAGCAAGCGTGTGTGAGCATGTTAGATAGGAGTGAATGGAGACGAATGGTACTTGGGACCTGACGATCTGTTGGAGTGTGAGCAGGGTAATATTTAGTGAAGGGATTCAGGGAAACCGGTTATTTTCATACAGTCGGACTTGAGTCCTGGAAATGGGAAGTACAATGTCTGCACTTTAAAGGAGGGGTTTGGGATATTGGCAGTTTGGAGGGATATGTTGTGTATCTTTATATGTATATGCTTCTAAACTGTTGTATTCTGAGCATCTCTGCAAAAACAGTGATAATGTGTGAGTGTTGTGAAAGTGTTGAATGATGATGAAAGTAATTTCTTTTTGGGGATTTTCTTTCTTTTTTTGGGTCACCCTGCCTCGGTGGGAGATGGCCGACTTGTTGAAAAAAAAAAAAAAATTTAATGATGAATAATTGTACTGTAATGAGATTTATTTAAGAATTCCTAATATTTTATATTTTTGTAATCCATTCATTTTGAAAATCTGATTATCACATGATTTCTTTGTAGGTGCACCAAATCTAGTAAAATACACAAAGAATAAACACCATTGCTCTTGTGGGTATGTCCATAAGTATGAAAGGGGGAGGTGTAGAGCAGTGTTCTCATAGAACGAAGGTCACTAGTCTAGGTTGTCAATCATTATCTTTGCACATGGCTATCATTGATAAAAAAGTTGTCAGAGGTAAATAGTCATTTGATGTTAAGGGTTAGGAAGTAGGTGCATGTATATATTTCATGTTCAAGGTAGTAAAATACATGCGTACATTATGTACATTCTCTTGCTATTTTTTTTGAGTGCAAGAGTTATTTATAATGCAATGTTTTCTTTCAGACAAACTTACCATAGAACCAGAGAACAATACAGACTCTTCAGGTGTATTTGTGGAAGGAACTGGTGAATCGACTAATTGGAGTTCCATCAAACGGCACCACACTAGCGGCAGGAGTCTTGTTGGGAGCCGCAGAGGCTCTGTGGGATCAAGAGGCACATCTAGAGGAGACTCCTGCTCCTCTGAAGGGGTACAGAATTAAATGTCTATTTTCTTTTGATGTTCAGTCCCTTACCACAGAATGGTATTCAATAAAATACATATTTGTATCAGTTACTAAGCCAAAAAAATTATATAAGGTACTGTATTTGCAGATTTCACTAGGAGAAAGTACTGTGTGTTCAGTTTAAGACAAAAAATGTTGAAATAAGTGTTTTAGCCTACAGAGTAGGATTTCTATCTCAGTGTTATGTCTAAAATTGATTTCTTAAGTTATAAATAAGGACTTTATCTTAAGAAAAATGCTAATCAGTCCTGTGGAAAGACATTGTGTAATTATTCACTTTTTAATACATGTAGGGTGCATGTGCCAGCAGTGGTAACAGCAGCAGTCATGGCGATGCCGTTGGAGTTGGTAGCAGCACTTGCAATGCTGATTGTGCAACAGGAGAAGGTGGTCGGCGAGAGTGCTCTCTGTGTCTACAAGAGGTTCCAGATGACCTCTTTCCTTCGCTTATATCTTGCCCACACTCAGCATGTCTTCCCTGTCTTAGACAGTACCTCAAAGTTGAGATCACAGAGTCCAGAGTCAATATCAGTTGTCCTCAATGTAATGAGCTTATGCACCCCACAGGTTAGTATGTTGCATTTGTGTATTAATTTACATCAGATGTTGGTTGTACTGGTATATTTTGGGATGTTGGTTTCTGCAATAATTAGGAAATGTCCATAATGATTGACTTTTAATGTTCAAAGCTGGTGTATCTTAGTGAAAGATTAAAATTTTTTTTGCTGTGTTGGTGTCAGAATGCCATTTTTATTGAAGAAATTGGGATACTAGTTACCATGGGATCACTTGTGAATGCCTCTTCTCATTGGCATCATATCTTCAATGCTGATATTTAACTACAATAGAAACTTAAAACTCTTCTCTGTACTATTTCTTTTGTACGCATTGAAGCAGAAGAGGCTTTGCTTATGGGGTACAAGGATCTCTTTCTTGCATTGAGTAGTGACCGAAGCATATCTGGTTGGAGACATTCTTGTTGTTTTTTTATTTGAGAATAGTTGATAGAAGGTTTAATTTGATTATGATGCAAATTGCGAAATTATTAGTTTTTACTCTAGCATTACCCAAATTTGAAACTACACAAGATTAAAAGCTAATCCTTCTGTTAGCTGAAATTGAAAAAGTATGTTAGTGGCAGAAAGCAGTACAGTATGTTCTTCTAATGTTGAGAATTGTATAAAGTCTGTCAGTATGCTAATCATAAAAAAGCAGATCAATAATTATTTCTTTTTCCTTCACTAGATATTCACAACATTGTGGATAATGCTTTGCTATCATATAAGTTCGAAGACTTTATGCTGCGGAGAGTATTATCCATGGACCCAGACACACGGTGGTGCCCTGCTCCAGATTGTGGGTAGGTTTTTTTTTTTTTTTTTCCCCTTCTGTAACTTACTTTTTATTCATGTTAGATTGTAAGGCACACATGTGGATCATGTTGTCATCATGTTTTCATCTTACTCTTAATATTTTATTTGCTTCCCCAAAAATTAGTGGAAAAGCATACCAATTACAGTATACAGTGGACCCTATAAGTTGTATATCAGTGGTATACAGTACTGACAATAATGAATTAGACATGTTCAATATCTGGGTGTGTGTTTTGAAGACTTCACCAACCAATGGCTTTATCAATACAATACATGGACATCAATAGAAGACTGTAAAAGAGGAGGTAATCAGTCCCTCAGTCTAGGAATAGGTGTCTTGTTGAATCGCTGTTGGCATTCTGAGTGCATAAGTTGCACCTAGACTGCCAACTTTATGCCTGCATGATTCCATAAAGAGATTCCAAAGAGTTATCATAGTTGCTCTTCACTAGTGACAATTTTTTTGGGGAGATTCTGAAGAGAAGTTATGTAAGTTGGAGTTGTTTTAGGAGGATGTGTTAAATAAGAAAATTAGAAGTGAATGTGGAAAAAAAGCAATATATAATATATTCAATGAAGGATGATGTATCAGAATGGATGAAATAGAAGTATGTAGATATTTGGCAGTAGACATTTCAACACGCAGGTCTGTGAAAGACTGAGGGAGGAAAGGTAGGTGGAGTGTTGAGACATCTGTGGAAAGAAAAGCTTGCCTGAGGCAAGAAAGGGAAATGTACCAGATTGTAGTTAGTATACCAACACTTTCATACGAGTGTGAGGCTTAGACTAAGTGTAGTGAGGTGGTGGTTAGAGGCAGCGGATATTCGTGTTTAAGAGAATTGTGGTGTGGATAATATGCAGAGAATTTGGAGCTTAGAAATTAGACATTAGTGTGGTTATGAAAGGTATAGTTTTGAGGGTGGAGGAGGACTATTCAAGATTATTTGAGTACTTTCAGAGAATGGAGCAAAATAGGATGACTAGAGTATGTAAAATTCAGATAGAGGGGTAGAGGCCATTCCAGGAAGAGTTGGAGGGAGGGTTTGAAATAAGTTTCAAGTAGTAGGAAGCATCCAGCAGGTGTGAAAGAGCATGTTAGGTCGGGACGAGTTGAAATTATTGGTTTTTATGGCTTGACGGGTTCTTTGTGAGCAGGGTAACATAATGGGATTCAAGGAAACCAGTTAGCCGGACTGAAATCCTGGAGGCAGGAAGTCAGTGCCTATACTCAGAGGGTTGTGGATACTGCATTTAGGAAGGTCATGTGAATTGTGGTGTCTTCACTTGTCTGATAAGACTACTGTTGAATGTGTGCGCGCGCGCGTGTGCGTGTGCACGTGTGTGCGTGCATGCGTGTGTGCACGCACGTACGTACGTACTCACCTAGTTGAGGTTGCAGGGGTCGAGTCCAAGCTCCTGGCCCCGCCTCTTCACTGGTCGCCACTAGGTGTCACTCCCTGAACCATGAGCTTCATCGTACCTCTGCTTAAAGCTATGTATGGATCCTGCCTCCACTACATCTCTTCCCAAACTATTCCACTTCCTGACTACTCTGTGGCTGAAGAAATACTTCCTAACATTCCTGTGATTCATCTGTGTCTTCAGCTTCCAACTGTGTCCCCTTGTTGCTGTGTCCAGTCTCTGGAACATCCTGTCTTGGTCCACCTTGTCAATTCCTCTCAGTATTTTGTAAGTCGTATCATGTCCCCCCTATCTCTCCTGTCCTCCAGTGTCGTCAGGTTGATTTCCCTTAACCTCTCCTCGTAGGACATACCTCTTAGCTCTGGGACTAGTCTTGTGGCAAACCTTTGCACTTTCTCTAGTTTCTTTACATGCTTGGCTAGGTGTGGGCTCCAAACTGGTGCCGCATACTCCAATATGGGCCTAACGTACACAGTGTACAGGGTCCTGAACAACTCCTTATTAAGATGTCGGAATGCTGTTCTGAGGTTTGCCAGGCGCCCATATGCTGCAGCAGTTATTTGGTTGATGTGCGCTTCAGGAGATGTGCCTGGTGTTATACTCACCCCAAGATCTTTTTCCTTGAGTGAGGTTTGTAGTCTCTGGCCCCCTAGAGTGTACTCCGTCTGCGGTCTTCTTTGCCCTTCCCCAATCTTCATGACTTTGCACTTGGTGGGATTGAACTCCAGGAGCCAATTGCTGGACCAGGTCTGCAGCCTGTCCAGATACCTTTGTAGTTCTGTGTGTGTGTGTGTGTGTGTGTGTGTGTGTGTGTGTGTGTGCGCGTGTGTGCGCGTGTGTGCACGTGTGCGTGTGCGCGCGCGTGTCTGTGTGTGCGCACGTACTCACCTAATTATGGTTGCAGGGGTTGAGACTCGGCTCCTGGCCCCGCCTCTTCACTGATCGCTACTAGGTTCTCTCCCCCTCTGCTTCCTGAGCTTTGTCATACCTCTTCTTAAAACTATGTATGGTTCCTGCCTCCACTACTTCACTTGCTAGGCTATTCCACTTCCTGACGACTATGACTGAAGAAATACTTCCTAACGTCCCTGTGACTCGTCTGAGTCTTCAGCTTCCAGTTGTGACCCCTTGTTTCTGTGTCCCCTCTCTGGAACATCCTGTCTCTGTCCACCTTGTCTATTCCCCGCAGTATATTGTATATCGTTATCATGTCTCCTCTGACCCTTCTGTCCTCCAGTGTCGTCAGTCCAATTTCCCTCAACCTTTCCTCGTACAACATTCCCCTGAGCTCTGGGACTAGCCTTGTTGCAAACCTTTGTACTTTAACTTCTTGACGTGCTTGACCAGGTGTGGGTTCCAGACTGGTGCTGCATACTCCAGTATGGGCCTAACATACACAGTGTACAGTGTCTTGAACGATTCCTTATTAAGGTATCGGAACGCTATTCTCAGGTTTGCCAGGCGCCCGTATGCTGCAGCAGTTATTTGGTTGATGTGTGCCTCCGGTGACATGCTCAGTGTTATGGTCACCCCAAGGTTTTTTTCCCTGAGTGAGGTCTGTAGTCTTTGTCCACCTAGCCTATACTCTGTCTGCGGTCTTCTTTGCCCCTCCTTAATCTTCATGACTGCATTTGGCAGGGTTGAATTCGAGAAGCCAGTTTCTGGACCACATGTCCAGCTTGTCCAGGTCTCTTTGCAGTCCTGCCTCATCCTCATCTGATTTAATTCTTCTCGTCAGCTTCACATCATATGCGAATAGGGACAATTCAGAGTCTATTCCTTCGATCACGTCGTTCGCATATATCAAAAATAGCACTGGTCCTAGAACTGACCCCTGTGGGACCCCGCTCGTCACAGGCGCCCACTGTGATACCTCTTCACGTACCATGACTCGTTGCCTCCCTGTCAGGTATTCCCTGATCCATTGCAGTGCCCTCCCTGTTATATGCGCCTGATCCTCCAGCTTCTGCACTAATCTCTTGTGGGGAACTGTGTCAAAGGCCTTCCTGCAGTCTAGGAAAATGCAGTCAACCCACCCCCTCTCTCTCGTGTCTTACTTCTGTTACCTTGTCATAAAACTCCAGAAGGTTTGTGACACAGGATTTGCCTTCCATGAACCCATGCTGGTTTTCATTTATAATCTTGTTCCGTTCCAGGTGTTCCACCACTCTCCTCCTGATAATCTTCTCCATGACTTTGCACACAATACATCTCAGAGACACAGGTCTGTAGTTTAGTGCCTCATTTCTGTTTCCTTTCTTAAATATGGGGACTACATTTGCTGTCTTCCATTTCTCAGGTAGTTGCCCAGTTTCAAGGGATGTGTTGAAGATTGTGGTTAGGGGCATGCACAGCATCTCTGCTCCTTCTCTAAGGACTCACGGGGAGGTGTTGTCCGGTCCCATCGCCTTTGAGGTATCAAGGTCACTTAGCAGCTTCTGCACCTCCTCCTCGGTTGTTCGTATGTCATCCAACACTTGTTGGTATATTCCCTCTTGATGTTTCCCATCTGTGCTGTCTTCCCAGAGCCCTTCCTGTCTCTACTGTAAAAACCTCCTTAAATCTCCTGTTTAGCTCCTCACATACCTCCTGATCATTTCTTGTGAGTTCTCCACCTTCTGTCCTCAGTCTGATCACCTGGTCTTTGACTGTTGTCTTCCTCCTGATGTGGCTATACAACAGTTTCGGGTCAGTCTTGATTTTCGATGGTGTGTTATTTTCATACTGTCGCTGGGCCTCCCTCCTTACCTGTGCATACTCATTCCTGGCTCTTCGACTAATCTCCCTATTTTCATGTGTTCTCTGCCTTCTGTACTTTTTCTATTCTCTGTTGCACTTTGTTTTTGCCTCTTTACACCGTCGGGCAAACCAGGGGCTCATTCCGGTCTTCCCATTGTTTCTGTTGCCCATGGGAATAAACCTTTCCACTGCCTCCTTGCATTTTGTTGTTACATATTCCATCATTTCATTTACTGGCTTTCCTGCCAGTTCTCTGTCCCATGGAACCTCCTGCAGGAAGTTCCTCAACCCTATGTAGTCCCCTCTTTTATAGTCTGGCTTTTCCCCTTCAACTCCTGTTACTCTCTCCACTTGCAACTCTACTATGTATTCAAAGCACAGAACCACGTGGTCACTAGCTCCTACGGGACTCTCATATGTGATGTTCTCAATGTCTGAACTGCCCAGGGTGAACACAAGGTCCAATCTTGCTGGTTCATCCTCCCCTCTCACTCTGGTAGTGTCCTTAACATGTTGGTGCATGAGGTTTTCCAGCACCACATCCAACATCTTGGCTCTCCATGTTTTGGGACCCCATGTGGCTCCAGGTTTTCCCAGTCAATCTCCCTGTGGTTGAAATCCCCCATAACCAGCAACTTTGCTCTGCTGGAGTGAGCTCTTCTTGCCACCTCAGCAAGTGTGTCCACCATTGCTCTGTTGCTCTCTTCATATTCCTCTCTTGGCCTCCTGCAGTTCTGTGGTGGATTATACATCACTGCAATGACCACCTTGTGCTCCCCAGACTGAAGTGTACCTACTATGTAGTCCCTTTCTCCTGTCTCGTCTA